ATCTAATAATGTTCTCATGTAAGGAGAGTTGGGTCCATACTGTTTTACTCCCTCTTTCATTTGTTTTAGCATTTTTATAGAAAAAGACTTATATCTGGCTTCAGCTACGGGAAGCTCTCCCTCTTGGGCCCCTTCTCCAGGTGGTCTTGCTTCTAATATTACTGGGAATTGCCACGCCTCAATATCTCCTTGTTTTCTTGCCTCATCAATAATTTTATGTAACGCACTACCCTGTGTACTAGGCGGTGCTGTAGGATTAAGTCTCATGGTGGGCGGCTGAGGATATGGCACCCTGCCCTGTGGCGCTGGAAATGTTCCTGGCTGTCCATACAGATTTTCTGGGGGCTGCCGATACTGCAGTTCAGCTGGCGGCCAGTATTGATAGGCTACTGGCGGCTGGGTCTTATTTTCTACCGGCTGATATTGTGGACACTGCATTTGGATTGGCATTGCCATGATGGAGACTTTATCTTTTTCTATTTGATCTTCTTTTGGAATTTGTACTTGTTTAACCTGCATTTGAGGTTGTAAAGTTATAGGTATCTGAGCTGCTGGAAGAGGAGCTGGCCATCGTGGTCTAGACTCTGATGGCTCTGCTAATTCTGGATCTTTTTCCTCTAATTTTAACGTTTCAGGATATATTACCTCCTGTAATTGATTATTGTCAACATTTTGCGTTGACTGAGCCATTACCGGCTCTGATACACATTCACAGTGTGAACTTTCCTTTCCTTTCCGGGATTCTATCCCTGCCTCTTTTTCACAATCTACTGCACAGCTTTTAGGGACATCAGAAATTGGAACGCTATCTTCTTCTGTTTGAAATGGTTCTAAAGCTACTTTAATAATGACCCAATCATTCCATACTGTAAGCGGAATGTTTTTACCTTCCCTACTTGCTTGTTTTAATTCTTTGCCAATTTTTTCCCAGTCTTTTAGATCTAAAGTTCCCTGTTCCGGAAACCATGGACAAAACTGCTCTATTGTTTGAAATAGCGTAATTAGATTTTTGGTAGAGACTTTAACTCCCCCTCTCTTTAAGAGAATTTTAATAAAGCTGCGATAAGAGGCATATTTACTCTTAGTTTGCCCCATTGTTACCCTAGGTTCTTCCGAGCGCACAAGCTTGCCGCAAGGCTGACGTACTCGGGAGTCTCTCGTTGACTTGTCCTCAATGACCACGCTCCAGCGTACCTTCACCTTAGAGAAAAGCTTCCACGTTGGGCACCAGATGAAGGGGTGGCCTGCCCCTCCACACCTGTGGGTGTTTCTCGTAAGGCGGAACGAGAGACTTGAGAAAAGAAATAAGACACAGAGACAAAGTATAGAGAAAGAAAAGCGGGGGCCCAGGGGCCGGCGCTTAGCTTCCAGAGGACCCACGCCGGCACCGGTCTCTCAGTTCCCTTAGTATTTATTGATAATTATCTTTACCATCTTAAAGACGGGAGTGGCAGGACAATAGGATCAAAGAAAAAGAGGAAATCGGCAGTAAGACATATGAACAAAAATCTCTGTGACATGAATAAGTTTAAAGGAAAATGTTGTGCCTTGAGATGCATATGCAAACATCTCCATAAACCTTTTAGTAGCATTGTTTCAGTCTATCACATGGGGAGAAACCTTAGACAACACCTAGCTTTCCTAGGCAGAGGTCCCTGGGTAGTTGAAATTAAGAGAATGGTGATAACTTTTAACCAGCAAGCTGCCTTCAGGCATTTGTTTAACAAAGACACATCCTGCACAGCCCAAAATCCATTAAACCTTGAGTCACCGCAGCATGTCTCTTGCAAGGACAAGGTTGGGGGTAGGGTCACAGATGAACAGTATCTCAAATACAGAACAAAATGGAGTCTCTTATGTCTACTTCTTTCTATATAGACACAGTAACAGGCTGATCTCTCTTCCTTTTCCCCACAGTCTGAAATGGATAGATACTTGTGCTTTTACTATTTAACTTTATTTTTTATTTTTTTGAGATCGAGTTTCACTCTTTTTTTTTTTTGAGACGGAGTCTTGCTCTGTTGCCCAGGCTGGAGTGCAGTAGCCTGATCTCAGCTCACTGCAAGCTCCGCCTCCTGGGTTTACACCATTCTCCTGCCTCAGCCTCCCGAGTAGCTGGGACTACAGGCGCCCGCCACTTCGCCCGGCTAGTTTTTTTTTTGTATTTTTTAGTAGAGACGGGGTTTCACCATATTAGCCAGTATCGTCTCGATCTCCTGACCTCGTGATCCGCCCGTCTCGGCCTCCCAAAGTGCTGGGATTACAGGCTTGAGCCACCGCGCCCAGCTGGAGTTTCACTCTTGTTGTCCAGGCTGGAGTTCAATGGCGTGATCTCGGCTTACCGCTACCTCTGCCTCCCGGTTTTAAGTAATTCTCCTGCCTCAGCCCCCCGAGTAGCTGGGATTATAGGCATGCACCACCACGCCGGGCTAATTTTGTATTTTTAGTAGATACAGGGTTTCTCCATGTTGATCAGGTTGGTCTCGAACTCCCAACCTCAAATGATCCTCCCACCTTGGCCTCCCAAAGTGCTGGGATTACAGGCATAAGCCACCACTCCCAGCTTACCTTTATTTTTTATTTATGTATTTTTTTGAGATGGAATCTTGCTTTGGTGCCTAGGCTGGAGTGTAATGGCAGAATCTTGGCTTACTGCAAGCATCATCTCCCAGATTCAAGTGATTCTTGTGCCTCAGGCTCCTGATTAGCTGAGATTACAGGCGCCCACCACCACGGGCGTGGTGGCCCACACCTGTAGTCCCAGCTAACTTGGGAGGCTGAGTCAGGAGAATCACTTGAACCTGGAAAGTGTAGGTTACAGTGAGCCAAGGTCGTGCCACTGCACTCCAGTCTGGGTGACAGAGTGAGACTTCGTCTCTAAATAAATAAATACTAACTAAACTAACTAATAAATAAATACTAACTAAACCAAGTAACTATCCATGTAAGGCATGGGAGGGAAGTGAATGGCCTTGAGTGGGGTGGAGAGGCCTGAGGCCGGTGACTCCCAGTTGAGGCCAATCTTGAGCCTGCAATGGGAGGTTGTTGAAGGCCCACTTAAACTGGTTCTTCCTGGAAGCCTCCCCCGCAGGTGTCCCAACTTGATCAGTCCAGCCATGGGAGGAGGCTTTTATACTGAGAGAAGCTACAGAGCATTAGAAAGCTGAGGCGGTTGGGGTGATTCCCTGTTTGAGGTTGTATTTCTTACTGTTGTGGGGCTGTCGCTAGACATTCTCAAGTAAAATAAATCTGGATTCAGCTAAGTGACTTCATTTTAAAGGGGAAAGCATCAAGTATAAGATCTGAGGCATCCCAGTCGGGCCCAGTGACTCACAACAGTGAAACTGGGTCTCAAAAAAAAAAAAAAAAAAGATCTGTGGCATCTCTTAGGTTGGGCGGAAAAGTTCTTTTCTTGCTAAGGGAAGAGCTACCAAGATTAGAAGGAAGATGCGAAGGGGAGGGCAGGATGGAGGATGAGAATCAGATTTTTTTTTTTTTTGAGTTGAAGTCTCGAGAGCTCTGTTGCCCATGCTGGAGTGCGGTGGCATGATCTCGGCTCACTGCAACCTCCATCTCCTGGGTTTAAGTGATTTTCCTGCCTCAGCCTCCCAAATAGCTGAGACTACAGGCGCAGGCCACTACACCTGGCTAATTTTTTGTGTTTTTGTAGAGATGAAGTTTCACCATGTTAGCCAGGATGGTCTCAATCTCCTGACCTCATGATCCACCCACCTCGGCCTCCCAAAGTGCTGGGATTATAGGCATGAGCCACCATGCCTGGCTGAGAATCAGATTTTAGATGAGAGAATGTTTTACTCTGACCTAAGTCTGTTCTTCAAATGGGTTATGAAGGAGGGGTTTTATGCTGGCTCAGGCTCAGGATGGGTCAAAGTTCACAGTCCTAGAGCAAGGAGAGAAGCTTTTCTTTAGTTGTATTTTGTTCAGTATGATCAGCGAAGACAAAACTGCTCAGCTAATCATAAGACAAAAAATGGGAATTTGTAGGTTCTTTATCTGGCCGAGTTATAGTTTAGAAAAGCGGGGAGGGGCATAATCTATGTAAGCAAAGGGTGCATTTGTTTTGTTTTGTTTTGTTTTGTGGCTGCTTGTCCAGAACACAAAGAACTGGGCTTGGGGAGTTGAGGTGATTTTCTGTCATCTTACTTATTTACCAGAGTTACAGGGCTTGGGTAAAATTCAACATTCAAACCTAGCATTGGCTGATCAGCTATGCTCCCACTGCTGAGCATGTAACAAAATTCCAAGCTCCCCAAGAGAAGGTAAGAGTTAAGCAAATACTATACTTTTTCCATAAACAGTTTATACACACTCAGCACCTGTTGTTAGTTATGTTGGTGGAGACCCTCTATAAATCCAGTGCCAGAGTACGTGAAGGATCCAACTTTGTTAACCAGCATCTGTAAATATATACAATCTCAGGACTCCTCTTCTTGCACAGTGAGTAGTAGGACTTTGTCATGACAGGAATTACAGACCCACTATAAAGTGGACATTAGAGTTGATCCTGGCAATAAAATTCATTCATTTAAAGTCATCAAAAAAAGACCTTGTTCCTATTTGACTTGTTAACCAGCATCTGTAAATATATACAATCTCAGGACTCTCTTCTGCACAGTGAGTAGTAGGACTTTGTCATGACAGAATTACAGACCCACTATAAAGTGGACATTAGGGATGATCCTGGCAATAAAATTCATTCATTTAAGTCATCAAAAAGACACTTGTTCCTATTAATTCATTCATTTAAGTCATCAAAAAGACACTTGTTCCTATTTGACTATTATTTATACAACAACATTCAATTCTAGCATCAGAATTGCTGTGTTGGAGAAAGTGTGGACAGAGAATAAGGGTGGATTTACCATGTTATTGAATCATTGCTTAGAAACAATAGTATCATGCAAAGTTTATGAAGTGGGTGTAAATTTTTGGTACTGTCAGTCTCAACCTTCCTCATTCGTACATATGGGATGTTTCAGGATTCAGTTGCCTTTGAGGATGTGGCTGTGAACTTCACCCGGGAAGAGTGGGCTTTGCTGGGTCCATCACAGAAGACTCTGTATAGAGATGTGATGTGGGAAACCATTAGGAACCTGGACTGTATAGGTAAAAATGACATTATGTCTTCACTTAGTCAATTAAAGACATTTTTTTCTTGGTCACCAATGCCGTTGAATGAATTGAAATATGGAAAGGGGATATAGTTGACCCTTCAACAACACAGGGTTAAGGGATGCCGGGTCCCCAACCAGTTGTACATATTCCTGTAACTTTTTGTTTACCACAACTTACCCTTCAGTTGTCTGGTCACAAAAACAATTGATTAACACATATTTTGTCTGTCACATGTATTGCATACTATATTCTCACAATAGTGTAAGCTAGAGAAAATAAATGTTAAGAAAATCATAAATACATAAAAATGTATTTACTGTGCATTAAGTTGAAATGGATCATCATAAAGGTTTTCATCCTCATTATCTTCTCATTGAGTAGGCTGAGTAAGAGGAGCGATTGGTCTTGGTGTCCCAGGGGTAGCAGAGACTGAAGAAAATTTGTATATAAGTGGACTTGTGAGCCAGGTGTGGTGGCTCATGCCTGTAATCCCAGCACTTTGGGAGACCAAGGCTGGCAGATCACCTGAGGTCGGGAGTTCGAAACCCACCTGAAACCCCGTCTCTACTAAAAATCCAAAAATTAGCTGGGCATGGTGGTGCACACCTGTAGTCCCAGCTACTTGGGAGGCTGAGGCAGGAGAATGGCTTGAACCTGGGAGGCAGAGGTTGCAGTGAACGGAGATTGCACCACTGCACTCTAGCCTGGTGACAGAGCGGGACTCCATCTTAAAAATACAAAATAAGTGGACTTGTGAGGTACACACCTATGTTGTTCAAGTGTCAGCTATAATTCAGTGAATAAATCATGCATGATTCCATTATACATAAAATCTTATAGTGTTTTTAGAATTTTATAATAATCTACAGTGTTTTTTCTGTGTCCACCTTTTAGGAATGAAATGGGAAGACACAGACATTGAAGATCAGCACAAAAATCCCAGGAGGAGCCTAAGGTAATTTGCACTCACAAGAGAAAGACATGTATCTGTGGAGCAATTCTTAGGATGACAGGAAATTATACAACTAGGCAAAGAAAATGAACAAGCCCAGTATAAATTTATTCCTAGAAAATTTTCTCCAGAAACATATACTTAAATGTGACATAGCTATTCAGTGTTTGCAAAAATAGTTCCCTTAGAAATAATATGAAGAATTTGGCCAGGCGCAGTGGACCACACCTGTAATCCCAGCAGTTTGGGAGGCCAAGGTGGGCAATCACAAAGTCCAGAGATTGAGACCATCCTGGCCAACATGATGAAACCCCGTCTCTACTAAAAATACAAAAATTAGCTGGGCATGGTGGTGCATGCCTGTAGTCCCAGTTACTCAGGAGGCTGGGGCAGGAGAAATACTTGAACCTGGGAGGTGGAGGTTGCAGTGAGCCGAGATCGCACTGCTGCACTCCAGCCTGGCAACAGAGCGAGACTCCGTCTCAAAAAAAAAAAAAAAAAAAAAGAATTCCATGTGTTTATCATTGTCAAGAAAACAGCTGGGGTCTAGATATCTTGTACAACGTTCAGTCCATTCACGTTCGAGCAGTGCATGAAACCTACACGTTGCATGGTGATGTAAAATGGAAATCCAGTACCTACTAATAAATATAAAGTCATTTATAAATAAACCTTTATTAATATACTTCTCATGTTTTACAGATGTCTTATCATAGAAAGATTCAGTGAAAGTAGCCAGATTCCAGGTAGTACTGTGAATGAAAAAGCTCATGGAGTAGATCCATGTGAAAGCAGTGTGCATGGAGAAGTCATCATGGGTTGTTCATTCCTTAATTGCTACATCACATTTGATGCTGGACACAAACCAGATGAGTGTCAGGAATATGGAGAAAAGCCACATACACATAAACAATGTGGGACAACCTTCAGTTATCACCACTCTTTTCAAACACAGGAAAGACCTCACACTGAAAAGAAACGCTATGATTGTAAGGAATGTGGGAAAACCTTCAGTTCTTTGGGAAACCTTCGAAGACACATAATAGTACAACGTGGAGGTGGACCTTATATATGTAAGTTGTGTGGGAAAGCCTTTTTTTGGCCTAGTTTATTTCGTATACATGAAAGAACTCACACTGGAGAGAAACCGTATGAATGTAAGCAGTGTTTTAAAGCCTTCCCTATTTACAGTTCCTATCTAAGACATGAAAGAACACACACTGGGGAGAAACCATATGAATGCAAGCACTGTTCTAAAGCCTTCCCTGATTACAGTTCCTATGTAAGACATGAAAGAACTCACACTGGAGAAAAACCCTATAAATGTAAACAATGTGGAAGAGCCTTCAGTGTTTCCAGTTCCCTTCGAATACATGAAAGAACTCACACTGGAGAGAAACCCTATGAATGTCAGCAATGTGGAAGAGCCTTCAGTGTTTCCAGTTCCCTTCGAATACATGAAAGAACTCACACTGGAGAGAAACCCTATGAATGTCAGCAATGTGGGAAAGCATTTCATCATCTGGGAAGCTTTCAAAGACACATGATAAGGCACACTGGAGATGGACCTCATAAATGTAAGATATGTGGGAGAGGCTTTGATTGTCCTAGTTCACTGCAAAGTCATGAAAGAACTCACACTGGAGAGAAACCCTATGAATGCAAGCAGTGTGGAAAAGCATTATCTCATCGCTCAAGCTTTCGAAGTCACATGATAATGCACACTGGAGATGGACCTCATAAATGCAAGGTATGTGGGAAAGCCTTTGTTTATCCCAGTGTATTTCAAAGACATGAAAGGACTCATACTGGTGAGAAACCCTATGAATGTAAGGAATGTGGTAAAGCCTTCCGTATTTCTAGTTCCCTTCGAAGGCATGAAACAACTCACACTGGAGAGAAGCCATATGAGTGTAAGGAATGTGGGAAAGCATTCAGTTGTTTCACATACCTTTCTCAACATAAAAGGATCCACACAGCTGAAAAACCTTATAAGTGTAAAACATATAAGAAAGCCTTCAGTCATTTTGGTAACTTAAAAGCCCATGAAAGGATTCACTCTGGAGAGAAACCGTATGAATGTAAGGAATGCAGGAAAGCATTCTCTTGGCTCACTTGCCTTCTACGACATGAAAGAATTCACACTGGAAAGAAATCTTATGAATGTCAACAATGTGGTAAAGCTTTCACTCGTTCCCGTTTCCTTCGAGGACATGAAAGGATTCACACTGGAGAGAAGATGCATGAATGTAAGGAATGTGGGAAAACACTGAGTTCTCTCAGTTCCTTGCATAGACATAAAAGGACTCACTGGAGAGATACTCAATAAATGTGGGAAAGCATTCATTAGTTTTATTTCATTTCAAAAATGTGAAATCACATAAGAGATAAGCCTCAAGAATGAAAACACAGCCGGGCGCGGTGGCTCAAGCCTGTAATCCCAGCACTTTGGGAGGCCGAGACGGGCGGATCACGAGGTCAGGAGATTGAGACCATCCTGGCTAACACGGTGAAACCCCGTCTCTACTAAAAAATACAAAAAACTAGCCGGGCGAGGTGGCGGGTGCCTGTAGTCCCAGCTAGTCGGGAGGCTGAGGCAGGAGAATGGCGTGAACCTGGGAGGCGGAGCTTGCAGTGAGCTGAGATCCGGCCACTGCACTCCAGCCTGGGCAACAGAGCGAGACTCCGTCTCAAAAAAAAAAAGAATGAAAACACATGGTAAAGCCTTAAGATGTTTCTTTTGAATATGCTTATCCCTTAACCATTTGTAGGGGATTGGTGTGGCTCCAGACCCCCTAAGCGTACCTAAATCCACAGATGCTATGTCCCTTTTATAAAATGAGATTTGCATGTAACGTATCCACATCCTCCTGCATACTGTAAATCATGCCTAGATTATTTAATTTTTCACCAACCCAAAGCTTTTGTAAAAGTAAAAATAAAAAGTAGGTTACTAAAATACTTCATGTGTTGTAAAAGCTATGTAAATAGTCATTTTATTGTATTTTTTTAGAGAATCATGAAAATAATCCTATAATGTTGAGAACAGACCCAGTCATCGCAGGCCTGCCTACATAGTACATGTCACCTAGAATGTTACAATTTCTTTTTTTCTTTTTTTTAAGACAGAGTTTCACTCTTGTTGCCCAGGCTGGAGGGCAATGGCACAATCTCAGCTCACTGCATCCTCTGCCTCCTGGGTTCAAGCAGTTCTCCTGTCTCAGCCTCCCGAGTAGCTGGGATTACAGGCGCATGCCACCTCGCTTGACTAATTTTTTTTTTTTTTTTGTATTTTTAGTAGAGACAGGGTTTTATCATATTGTTCAGGCTGGTCTCGAACTCCTGACCTCAGGTGATCTGCCTGCCTCAGTCTCCCAAAGTGCTGGGATTGCAGACATGAGCCTGTAATCTACAGTTTCTTTTTTTCAGCAATCATAGATTGCTTTTATTTAATGACCTGGAATCGTGTGTGAACACTTAATGAAAATCCTGGTCCTTCTTCCTTGATAACCCAAGGATGATGATGATGATGATGATGATGATTACAGTATGGTGCCTAATGTGATTCACTGAGGTGACTAGATGGGTGGCAGTGTAGATAAGCAGTGAGACATCAGACTCGCTTGAATCTTGACAAGATGTCAGGATGATCATCTGTGTTGGATGAACCAGGTTCTGATTGCAGATGCTGAGTTTGGAAGAGACTAAATAATACTAATGTCAGGATCTGTTCAGCATGAGGGCTGAAGATGTGTACACATTGAAAGATCTATCTTCATATTTGCAGATATTTAGTTAGAAACATTGTAGGAAGTTGGTTATTTTTCTTTAAATATCCTTGCAGTGTTTGTTGGCATGTTATCCCTCGGGTGACACAAAGGCTTTGTTCCATTGAAGGATCTTACTTGAGGATGGCAATCTTTATTTTTTAATTTTTTATTTTTAATTTTTATTTATTTATTTTTATTTATTTATTTTTTGAGCTGGAGTTTCGTTCTTATCACCCAGTCTGGAGTGCAGTGGCGCAATCTCGACTCACTGCAACCTCCACCTCCCAGGTTCAACCGATTCTCCTGCCTCAGCCTCCAGAGTAGTTGGGATTACAGGCATCCACCACCATGCCTGGCTAATTTTTATTTTTAGTAGAGATGGGGTTTCACTATGTTGGCCAGGCTGGTCTTGAACTCGTGACCTCAGGTGATCCACCCGCCTCAGCCTCCCAAAGTGCTGAGATTATAGGCATGAGCCACTGCGCCCTGTGAGGATTGTAATCTTTAATACTTTCACCTTGCAGAGGCTGTAGATGCCCCAAAAACTGCTGCAAATTTTTCAAGTGTCACATCTTTGATATTACCTCTTCTAAGTCTTCTGCATCATCATCATCATCATTATCTGTAGAGAATTTCAGTATATCTTCAAGTTCCTTGTTAGTAAGTGCTTATGGTCTCTTATGTGTGTTGGGATAGAAAGATTAAGGAAAGGAGAGATGAGAAGGTGGCTCAACAGTTGAGACAGGTTTATTGAGAGTAAACCTGAGAAGGGCTTCCAGCCGGCAGGGTCAGGTGCAAACTTTTCTTACAGCCTGAGGCTTTTTTTTAAAGGGCCCAGTGGGGAAATGTGCTTTGAAACAAAATTATATTACGGAGGGGTTAGGGAAGTCCTGGCTGTTCTGTTACGGTTAGGGCCATTATGTTCTGTTGAAGTTATGGGTGGGGCTGACATTTGCAGTTTTGGCCAGGTGGCCAAATTAGAAACTTACAGCTTAGGACGGAGGGGTGTTATAAAGATGGCAGTGCTCTTGTCCTGTCAGTGTGTTCCTCAGTAAAGTCTTCAAGCACGTCATAGATTGTCTTCCCCACCAACCTCCCTTGCCTGCAGCATTTGAGATATTCCTGATATTGTGTCAATAGTGGAGAAGCTCCTGAAATCATTGACTTCCTCACTCCATAATGGCTTCTAACACCCAGTGAAGTAGTAGGAGGAAAACATGGGTGTCCTCTCCTGGAAGCCTCCAGAAGAAGGTATTTCAATGTGCAGCTATGTCACAGGTCACTGAGAATTTGAGTAAGACAAGGAAAAAGGGTTGAGTGTAGATTTTGGCAAGTATTTGGTCACTGGGGGCCTTGATAAGAGCTGTTTTATTGGAGTATTCATGGGAATAACTTACAGAGAAATATATCTCAAATAGACCTCCTCGATGTTGCCTAGAGGGCAGTGTTACGCTTTGAACTACCAACATTAACCACTGGAACTGCCCATCTGGAAGTGTCTTTTACAGTGCTGGTACAAACTAGAATACACCCAGGAAGGGATCATTTTATACATGTTTCTGTGCTACTTGCTATATCTTCTTAGTGTTCCATACATGTAATTAGCTATTCCATCCTACCCCAAAGTACTGATAATCTCCATTCTACTTTCTCTGTGAATTTGACTATTCATAGAGAGAGATATATATGGAAGTATGCATGTGCCCTTCCATGTCTGACTTATTTCACTTAGCAGAACATTTTCAAGATTTATCCGTGTGGTAGCATGTATCAGAAACTCATTGTTTTTGTGTCTGAATAAATTTCCACTGTATAGTTAAAGCATACTTTGTTTATCCATTTTTATATTGATAAATGTGGGTTGTTTCCACAGTAATAATTTGGCTGCTATCAATAAGGCCGCTGTGGATATGGTATGTATATGTCTGTGTGAGTCCCTGCTTTCACTTCTTTTGGATATATACCTAGGAGTGGAATTGCTGGTTCACAGAATAATTGGTGTAAACCTTTTTCAGGAACAGGTGTATTGCTTTACAAAGTGGCTACAATGTTTTACATTCTCTCCAGCAATGCATAAGGGTTTCTGTTTTCCACATTGTCACATATACTGGTTATGTCATATTTTTTTTTTCATAATAGCCAATTAATGGTTCTGTACTGGTTTTTCATTGTGGTTTTGATTTGCATTTCCCTAATGACCAATAATAATGAGCATTGGTTTTTGTTTTTGTTGGTTGTTTATATATTTTTTGAACCAGTTTGTTTTAAAATCCTTTGCTTATATTAAAATTGAATCATTTGTGTTTTGTTGAGTTGAGGAATTCTTATTTAAAATTTTTAATTTTTAATATTTCGAAAATTTCTTTTTTTTTTCCAGCTCCCAAGTGCTTGGAAGAGAGTTATAGGAATTCTTTATACACTGTGTGTATTAAGCCCTTATTTTATATGTGATATGCAGATGTGTTCTCCCTTTCTGTCGATTTTCTTTTCATCTTGAGATTATCCTTTGGTGTGCAAAAGTTTTTAATTTCGATGTAGTCCAGTTTATCTTTTATTGGTTGCCTCTGCCTTAAATGTCATATCCAATGAATCATTGCCAACTGTAACAAAATTTTCCTCTTTGTTTTCTGCTAAGTAATTTTTTTTTCCTTCCTCTGTCACCCAGGCTGGAGTACAGAGGTGTGATCTTGGCTCACTGCAACCTCCATCTCCCAGGTTCAGGCGATTCTCGTCCCTCCGCCTCCCAAGTAGCCAAGTAGCTGGGATTACAGGCAGCCACCACCACACCTGTCTAAATTTTATATTTTTAGTAGAGACAGGGTTTCACCATGTTGGCCAAGCTGGTCTCCAACTCCTGACCTCAAGTGATCTGCTTGGCCTCCCAAAGTGCTGGGATTACAGCTATGAGCCCCTATACCCAGCCTCTTCTAAGTGTTTTATAGTTTTAGTTTTAGCTTTTAAGTATAGGTCTTTGATTAAATATAAGTTACTATTTATACATGATGTAATGTGATGGTTCACTTTTATTATTTGCATGTAGATATCCAGTTTTCCCTACACCATTTTCTGAAAGACTGTCCTGCCAAAGAATGATCTTGACACTGTTGTCAAAAATCATTTCACCATATATATGAGCATTTATTTCTAGGCTGTCTATTGTATTCCATTGGCCTATCTGTTTGTCCTTATGCCAGTACCATACTGTTTTGATTGCTGTAGCTTTGTAGTAAGTTTTGAAATAAGGCAGTGTGAATTCTTCAACATTGTTCTTTTTCAAGATTATTTTGGTATTAGAGATCCCTAGAGATTTGAAATGAATTTTAGAATAGGCTTTTCTATTTCTGTATAAGAGGCTGTTAGGATTTTGATAGGGATCACATTGACTCTGTAGATTGATTTTGGTAGGATTTCAATATTAACAATAGTAAGTCTTGGAATCCATGAACATGGGATATCTTTCCATTTATTTATCTTCCCTAATTTGCTTCAGGAATGTTTTGTAGTTTTCAGTGTACACGTCACTGACTTCTTGGTTTCATTTATTTTTAAGTGTTTTACTTTTTTTGATGCTTTTATAACAAATTATTTTCTTAATTTTCTTTTTGGATTATTCATTGTTTCTCTACAGAAAGGCAGCTGATTTTTGTGTATTGATTTTATATTCTGCAACATTGCTGCATTTGTTTTATAAGCTCTAAAATTTTATTTTTCCCTTGTGGAGTCTTCAGTGTTTTCTCCATATAGAATCATATAATCTGTAAACACAGATAATTTTACTTCTTTCTCTCCAATTTGGATTCCTTTTCTTTCTTTTTCTTACCTTTTTTCTCTAGCTATAACTTCCATTAGTATATTGAACAGAACTGTTGAAAGTGGACATCCTGTCTTCTTGATATTATGAAGAATTATGCTTGATATTATGAAGAATTTATGCTTCAATATTCATAAAAGGTATTCTGTAGTCTTTTTCTGTTCTTGTAATGTCTTTTCTTGGCTTTCATCTCAAAGTGAGGCTGGCCTCACAAAATGGATTAGAACTTGTTTCTTCTTCCATTTTGTTTCCACAAACCAACTTTTGGTGTCAATAATATCGTCTGTTGTTTTTATATTCTCTATTTGATTTATCTCTGCTCTATATTATTTACTTATTTGTAGTACGTTTTAAAAAATATTTTTAAAGACAGGGTCCTGCTATGTTGCTTAGGCTAGAGTGTAGTGGCTATTCACAGGCATGATTATGGTGCACTGTAGCCTAGAATTCCTGGGTTCAAGGAATGCTCCTCCCTTAGCCTCCTGAGCAGGTGGGACTATAGGAATGTACCACCACACCCTGTTTGTCTACTACCTTTCTAAAGAAGTTTGTGCTTCCTTTTCTAGTTCCTTAAACTGAATAATTAGAATACTTATTGGAGTTCTTTCTTCATTTTCAATGAATGCTTTTTTTTTTCCATTTGAGACGGTGTCTTGCTGTGTCACCCAGGCTGGAGGGCAGCGACGTGATCTCAGCTCACTGCAACCTCCGCCTCCCCGGTTCAAGTGATTCTCCTGCCTCAGCCTCTCAAGTAGCTGGGATTACAGGTGCCCACCACCAGATAAGTTAAGTTTTTATATTTTTAGTAGACACAGGGTTTCACCATGTTGGCCAAGCTGGTCTTGAACTCCTGACGTTGTGATCCACCCGCCTTGACCTCCCAAAGTGCTGGGCTTACAGGTGTAAGCCACTGCTCCCAGCCAATGAATGCATTTAAAGCTATAACATTTTCTCTTAGCACTGCCATTGCTGCATCTCATAAGTTCTGATGTGTTAGGTTTTTGTTTTCAGTGGTTTCGAGGTATTTTCCCTTTTTCTTTTCTTTTTTTCTTTTTTTTTTTTTAATTTTTGAGACACAATCTCACTCTGTCATTCAGGCTGGAGTGCAGTGGCCTAATCAGGGCTCACTGCAGCCTCCAACTCCTGGGCTCAAGTGACCCTCTTTCCACAGCCTCCCAAGTAATTGGGGCTATAGGTACATGCCACTGTGTCTGACTAATTTTTTAATTTTTTTTTGTAGAGATAGAGTCTTACTGTGTTGCCCAGGCTGGTCTCAAGCAATCCTCTCATCTTGGCCTCTCAAACTTTTGGGATTACAGGTTTGAGGCACCACCCCCAACCTCTTTTTTTGAGACAGAGTCTCATGGTCTTAAGGTATTTTCTATTGCAACTTCTCATTTGACCCATTGGTTGTTGAAGAGTGAATTAATTTACACTTATTTGTGTATTTTTTTCCAATAATCTGTAGTTTTATTTCATTGTATTTGAAAACTATACATTTGAGACCAGATATGGTGGCTAACGCCTATAATCCCAACATTTTGGGAGGCCAAGGTAGGAGGATTGCTTGAACCCAGGAGGTCAAGACCAGTCTGGGCAACATAGTAAGGCCTCATCTCTACAAAATTTGAAAAAAGTAGCCAGGTGTGACGGCGTACACTCCAGCCTGTGGTCCCAAATACTCAGGAGGCTGAGATGGGAGGATTATTTAAGCCCGAGGAATCAAGGTTGCAGTGAACTGTGGTCATGCCACTGTACTCCAACTTAGGTGACAGAGCAAGACCCTGTCTCAAAAAGAAAAAGATACATCTTACTATCTCAGTTTTTAGAATTGTGTGAAGAGCTTTTGTGTTTTATGTCCTAATTATGGTCTATCTTGGAGAGCGTTCCATATGCACTTGACCAGAATGTGTATTCTACTGTCATTGGATGGAGTATGCTTGTATATGTCGTTCTGTCTCTCTGTTTTATTTATTATGTTGTTGAAGTTTTTTCATTTCTTTATTGATCTTCTGTCTGATTGTTCTCTCCATTCTTGAAAATGTATGAAGTCTCAAACTCTTATTGTGGAACTCCCCATTTCTTCTTCATTTCTGTTAATGTTTACTTCATTTATTTTGAGCCCCTGTTGTTTACTGCAAGTAGGTTAATAATTGTTGTACATTCTGTATGTATTGACTCTTTTATAAATAGTGTTCTTCTTTGTCTCCTTTAACAATTTTTGGCTTAAACTCTTTTGTGTGATACTGGTGTCGCCACCCCTGTTCTATTCGGATTACTATTTGCATGGAATATTTTTCTGCATGCCCTCCCTTTCAACCTATTTGTGTCTTGAGATCTAAAGTGAGTTTCTAGTAGACAGAATGTAGTTGGATCATATTTTTCACCCATTCTGCCTATCTCTGCCTTTTTATTGGTGAGTTTAATTCATTTTCATATAAAGTAATTAATGATAAGAAAGCCCTTAAGGCTGGCCACAGTGGCTCATGCCTGTAATCCCAGCACTTTGGGAGGCTGAGGCAGGTGGATCACTTAAGGTTAGGAGTTCAAGACCAGCCTGGGCAATATGGCAAAACTCCTGCTCTACTAAAAATACAAAAAATTAGCCAGGCCTGGTGGCATGCACCTGTAAACCCAGCTACTCAGGAGTCTGAAGTGGGAGAATCACCTGAACCCAGGAGGTCGAGGCTATGGTGAGCCAAAATTGCACCACTGCACTACATCTTGGGCAATGGAAGTGAGACCCTGTCCCAAATAAATAAATAAAAATACTAGCTTTTATAATTTTCCATGTATTTCTTTTTACTAAGATCTTTATTTCCACCTACACCTTCTGGATACCGTCCAGTGTTGTTTTTTTGTTTTTGTTTTTGTTTTGCCCAATGTTCTTTTATTTCAAACTGCAAAATACTCTGCATTTCTCACAGAGCACATCTAATAATAATTTTTAAAACTACCTCAGTTTTTTCATGTGGGCATGTCTTAATTATTTTCTCACTTTTGAAAAACAGTGTTGACCGATGTTGGATTCTTAGTTGACTTTTTTTTTTTTTTTTTGAGATGGAGTCTTGCTCTGTTGCCCAGGCTAGAGTGCAGTGGTACAATCTTGGCTCACTGCAACATCCGTCTCCCGGGTTCCAGTGATTCTCTTGTCTCAGCCTCCCAAGTAGCTGGGATTATAGGCGTACCACTACACCTGGCTAATTTTTATATTTTTTTCAGTAGATATGAGGTTTCACCATGTTGGCCAGGATGATCTCAAACTCCTGACCTCGACTGATCCGCTGGCCTTGTCCTCCCAAAGTGCTGGGATTACAGGCATGAGCCACCATGCCCAGCTGACTGTTTTTGTTTTTACGTTTGACATAGGGTCTTACTGTATTGCCCAAGCTGGTCTTGAACTCCTAAGCCAAAGTGATCCTACCTCAGCCTCCTGAGTAGCTGTGACTATATGCCTGGTTACATTTTCTTTACTTCTTTTTTTTTTTTGAGACAGAGTCTCACTCTTTTGCCCAGGCTGGAATGCAGTGGCATGATTTCGGCTTACTGCAACCTCCACCTCTTGGGTTCAAGTGATCCTTCTGCCTCAGCTTCCTGAGTAGCTAGGATTACAGGCATATGCCACCACACCTGGCTAATTTTTGTATTTTCTGTAGAGATGGATTTTGCCATGTTGGCCTGGCTGACCCGAAACTCCTTACCTCAAGGTGTCTACCCGTGTTGGCCTCCCAAAGTGCTGGGATTACAGATGTGAGCCACTGCACCTGGCCATTTTTTTTTTTTCTTTTAGCACTTTGACTTTAACATCTGCCCCCTATTTTCTGGTCTCCAACATTTCTCATGAGAAATCTACTGATCTTATGAAGGATCATTTATATGTGATGAATCACTTCTTTTTTGCTGCTTTCAAGATTCTCTTTGTGTCCTTGGCTTTTGACAGCTTTAGTATAATGTGCATTCACGTGTTTCTCTTTGCATTCATCCTACTTAAAGTTCTTTGAGCTTCTTGGATGTCTACATCCATGGTTTTCACTGAATTTAGGATGTGTTCAGCCATTATTTCTCAAAATATTCTCCCTTCACCTTCTCTCTCTCTCTTCTCCTTCTGAAGTTCCCACAGTGCATATATTGGCCCGCTCAATGTCCTCCTACATGTCTCACCTGACTGCTATACCTAATTCCAACTTATTTCCAGGTCAAGGCTCTGTATAGAGTGGCTATTTTGATAGAAATTAACTAGATGCTGGCCGGGCACGGTGGCTCATGCCTGTAATCCCAGCAATTTGGGAGGCCGAGGCAGGTGGATCACCTGAGGTCAGGAGTTTGAGACCAGCCTAACTAACATGGTAAAACCCTGCCTCTACTAAAAGTAGAAAAATTAGCTGGGTGTAGTGGCGGGCGCCTGTAATCCCAGCTATTCGGGAGGCTGAGGCAGGAGAATCGCTTGAACCCAGGAGGCGGAGGTTGCAGTGAGTCCGAGGTCGTGCCATTGCACTCCAGCCTGGGCGACAGAGCAAGACTCCATCTCAAAAAAAAAAAAAAAAAAAAAGAAACTGGATGCAGGTCAGACAAGAGCCTCAAGGACATCAGCCAGTATAACCAAGTTTCCTGTGAGGGACACCTGGTCACTGATTAACATTTAAACATTAGTCCCTTCGCCAGAATGAAGTGTCCTGTGAAAAGCACACTGTAACACATCACAACCAGATGTCCTGTAGCCCCATAATGGCAGCACTAGAGTTCATAGCCACACTCCTGAGAGACCCCAGTGCCAAATTGGAGGAAAATACATGTGCATGACTGCCTGCAGCAGAGGTAGTGGGGAGAAGGCCAGCTGGTCCTATGCTGAATGTTGAAATGGCCACAATTAACCACAGTTTACCATCCAAGTCATTTTCTGGAATTTTCAAGGCTTCAATAGACTGTAGTGTGTTGTGTTGTTTTGTTTTGCTTTTTTGAGACGGAGTCTCACTCTTCTTGCCCAGGCTGGAGTGCAATGGCATGATCTTGGCTCAGTGCAACCTCCGCTTCCCTGATTCTCCTGCCTCAGCCTCCCAAGTAGCTGGGATTACAGGCATGCACCACCACGCCTGGCTAATTTTTGTATTTTTAGTAGAGACAGCGTTTCTCCATGTTGGTCAGTCTGGTCTCAAACTCCCGACTTCAGGTGGTCCTCCAGCCTTGTCCTCCCAAAGCGCTGGGATTACAGGCATGAGCCACCACGCTCAGCTGACTACAGTGTTTTAAAATAGCTCCATCAAGCCTGGCATGGTGCCTCACACCTGCAATCCCAGCACTTTGGGAGGCTGAGGCAGGTGGATCACTTGAGTTCAGGAGTCCAAGACCAGCTTGGCCAACATGGCAAAACCCCATCTCTACTAAAAATACAAAAAATTAACTGAGTATGGTGGCGCACACCTGTAATCCCAGCTACTCAGGAGGCTGAGGCACAAGAATCACTTGAGCCCAGGAAGTAGAGGTTGCAGTGAGCTGAGATTGTGCCGCTGCACTCCAACCTGGGCATCAGAGCAAGACTGTGTCAAAAAATAAAAATAGCTCAATCAGACAGATTTTGCCAGTAAAACTGATGTCTAGGTGGGGAGACAGCTTCTTTATGCTTGGTACCCTGCCATCTACCCTGAATCCTCTACCCTGAGGGGTTTGTTTTCTTTCCTTTCTTTCTTTTTTAGACGGTGTCTCACTCTGTTGCCCAAGCTGGAGTGCAGCGGTATGATCATAGCTCACTCCAACCTTGACCTCCTAGATTCAAGTGATCCTCCTGCCTCAGCCTCCTGAATAGCTAGGACTACAGGTGTATGCCACCATGCTCAGCTAATTTTTATTTATTTATTTTTTGGTAGACATGGTGGTTTTACTCTGTTCCCCAGGCTGGTCTTGAACTTCTAGCTTTGGCCTCTCAAAGGGCAGAGCTAACAGGCATAAACCACTGCACCTGGCTTTGCCCTGAGTTTTTACACTAATATATTATTTCATGTCTCACATTAAATGTCACCTTCTCAGGGTTCTTCATACCACCTCAGTGACTCTTACATGTTTTTATTTGTAGAATTTTTTTCCTTGCACTTTTTAGATTCAGGGAGATCCGATTAACATTGACAGATTTTTTTGATTTCTTAACTGTTGAAAAATTAAATAATATAAATGAAGCCAAATTGAATGGTGTATGTTTACTTTTATCATCTGCATTGCTGTATATGAAAGTACCCTGGAAAACCATTTTTAAAAGCCTTTTTCCAGAAAGGAAAATAAAATGGCCAGACAGCGTGACTCACACCTATAATCCCAGCAGTTTGGGAGGCTAAGGTGGGTGGATCATCTGAGTCTAAGAGTTTAGACCAGACTGGCCAACATGGTGAAACCCTATCTTTACAAAAAAAAAATACAAAAATTAGCCAGGCATGGTGGGACATGCCTGCAGTCCCAGCCTCTTGGGAGGCTGAGGTAGGAGGATCGCTTGAGCCCAGGAGGTTGAGGCTGCAGTGAGCCATGATGGCACTATTGCATTCTAGTGTAAGTGACAGAGTGAGAGCCTGTCTCAAAAAACAAAAAACAAACAAAGCTAACTGTTGTGGTAAGGGGTGACATTAATATTCACACATCCTTTCCCTGGTGCAGATTTCTCAGGGTTGTGCTGAGACCTCCAGTATTTACAGCAGGTGATGGTCACTTAGAATATTCTGTCTGTACCCTCACTAAGCAGGTAGTGACACAGGTTAAGAAGAACTGAAGCAAATAAAATGGATGTGTGCTCACCCAAGACATTATCTGGGAAGACTGTTTCAAATGAATAAATGAAATTCTGAGCATGAGAACAACAGTTGAATTCAACCTGGGCCAGTTTGCTTAAAAGGAAAAAGTATTTATATAATGCTTAGGATTTAGATACAGATATGACTGAGTGGGTCAATGGTGTGGGCTGGGGTTGAGAGGGGGTTTCAAATGGGTAAATGGGACATGTCCATCTCCAGGCACAGAGCACATGATGTCAACCCTGAACTGTGAAGGTCAGGGAGTGACTGAAGCCAAGGAGAGGGGAGAGCTCACATTTAATCGTTTTACACAACAGTTTGTTAAGGTAAAAATAATATTTTGTTAGCATGTTTGTTTCTCAAAGGAATAATTATTTACCAGTTAGTTTTGTTTGTTTGTTTTTGAGATGGAGTCTTGCTCTGTTGCCCAAACTGGAGTGCAATGGTGCGATCTCAGGTCACCGCAACCTCCGCCTCCTGGGTTCAAGCAATTCTCCTGCCTCAGCCTCCTGAATAGCTGAGATTACAGGCACGCACCACCACGCCTGGCTAATTTTTAGTATTTTTAGTAGAGATGGGGTTTCACCGTGTTGGTCAGGCTGTTCTTGAACTCCTGACCTTGTGATCTGCCTGCCTCGGCCTCCCAAAGTGTTGGGATTGCAGGCGTGAGCCACCGCACCCGGTCTTGTTTTGTTTTAGAGGAAAGAGGATCTCCCCATGTTGCCCAGGCTGGTCTCCAATTCCTGGGCTCAAGCAATCCTCCTGCCTCCCAAAGTGCTGGGATTACAGGCCCAAGGCACCATGCCCAGTGTATTTACCAGTTTCCAAATCCCTATTAAATATCTTATATATATTTTTTTCTCTATATATAAACACAGGAAGAAACGCAAGACTCTGCCAATTTTTTATTCAAACAGTGGAATTGTGGGTCTTTGTCTCAGTTAACTCATCAGTGCTGGTGAGAAGCAAGTGAAGACTCTTATAGAGGCCATGGGGAATGTTTCCTTTTGCCCTCTGGTGTTTTGCTGAATTAATTGGAGAGAAGGCAGATTAATTGGAGGAAAAGCATACAAATTTTATTTAACGTGTATATCTGGGAAGCTTCAGAATAAAGACCCAGAGATACAAAGGAATTTGTTCATTTTTATGGTTAGGCTTAACAACGTATGGACAGCCATGTAGAAATGTGATTAGACCGAAAGAGTATGATCCAATGCTAACAGACTGAGTGGGAAAACCCATCAAGGCCTGTGTGTCTAGATTGTTCTTGGCCTTTCTGAACATGCATTCCTTCCTTCTGGGTATGAGGCAGGACCCACTCTGAAATGGAAGGTCTTATGACCTACAGCAAGCTTGTCCAACCCATGGCCCAGGACGGCTTTGGATGCAGCCCAACACAAATTCATGATCTTTCTTAAAACATTAGGATTTTTTTTTTTTTTTTTTGCTACTTTTTTAAAAACTCATCAGCTGTTGTTAGTGTTAGTGTATTTTATATGTGGCCTAAGACGATTCTTCTTCCAATGTGGAAGCCCCCGGGGCCACCCCTGACCTACAATTAATTTGTTGGACAGTTAATTTGCTTATGGCCAGTTTTTACACAGAAAGGACAATGGAAAGTTAGAGTAATATGTTTTGATTTTATGCCTGGATTTAGGGGAAAAGGGTTCTGCATTCTATGACACACTTTGGAGAAGAGAGATTCTCGTTTCTATTGCTAGCCTTGGTTAGAAAAGTAGGACTAAGAGTTCCAAGAATGGGACTGTTTTTCCTCTGCCCTCTGCGGAGAAAAAACTTTTGCTTTTGAGGCTTCTTCCAAGGTCTTCTTTTTGGGGTATTGTTTTCTGAGCCCCAACCACCTAGAGTGGGCAGCAGAGTTTGAACCAGTGACACTACACCGAGCCCATTCTGAAGGTTGCAAAGGGAGGCAAATAGAGCCTCCTTTGGTGCTTCCTCCGCAGCCTGTGCTCGCCTGCACATAGGCCGAAGCTGCGCATAGAATCAGAACTTAACATTTATATGTAGGCCCGGCGCGGTGGCTCACGCCTGTAATCCCAGCACTTTGGGAGGCCGAGGCGGGCGGATCAGGAGGTCAGGACATCGAGACCATCCTGGCTAACACAGTGAAACCCCGTCTCTACTAAAAATACAAAAACTTAGCCAGGCGTGATGGCGGGCGCCTGTAGTCCCAGCTACTCGATAGGTTGAGCCAGGAGAATGGCGTGAACCTGGGAGGCGGAGCTTGCAGTGAGCAGAGATCGCGCCACTGCACTCCAACCTGGGCGACTGAGTGAGACTCTGTCTCAAAAAAAAAAAAAAAAAAAAAATTATATGTTAGGAAAATCTGGGTAAAGGCTTGATTAATTTGACAGTTTATGTTGGTCAGTGCCTTAAACTAACTTTTTTTTTTTGAGACCAGGTCTCACCCTGTAACCCAGGCTGGAATGCCATGGCGCGACCATGGCGTGGTGAGCCACCACGCTGGGCCCTTAAACTAACTTTATATGAAACTTTCCTGCTGGTGAAAATGCACGTCTTGACGGAGGGAGCATTTCCACACTCTGCAGAGGGCACAGGGAAGTATGTTGAGCTCCCAGAGTCAAATCCTTCAGTGTCCCAGTCTCATCACCACGTTTTGGTTCACTCTGGGGTTCCATTTCAACAGTCAAGAGTCTGGCTGCCAAGTCTGGGAATATTTTTAGCCTCCTGAATGGGACGTTTGCTTGAGAAGTATGAGGGCAGCAGGCTGCTTATCTGCACTAGTTCAAGTTTTTGCTTTTTTTTTTTCTGTTTTGATTCATTTTTGTTTTGATTCATTCATTCATTTATTGCTGCTGTATGATTTCAGTTCTTCCACACATTTGATACTTTAATACCGTTCTTGACCTGTTTTTATTTCCTTGGCTGAAAATGAGTAGATTGAGATGCAAGGTGAGAGAGGAAGGCTTGACCTTGCTGCCAAGAGTCTCATCCTCAAATCCTGACGCCCAGTGGACATCAGGCCCCCCTCCTGCTGCCGTGTGGCCTGTGTGGCCTTGGGCTTCCCTCTGCTCTAAGGCCAGGGGAATGGCTCCACCGGACTGTGAGTCTGGGATTCCCTGCAAAACACTTGTGACTTCTTCTCCAGGAGGAAAAGGCAGTAAGGGCCCGCTGAGTACGGGCAGGTAATTCTGCATAAATGCAAATGTTCCCTGGAAGGGATCAGGACACAGATCTGGGAGGAAGCCTGCCCTGTCAAGCAAGGTCTGTGCCTGGAACTCGTTCATCCTGCTCTACTCAGCACTGCGTGATCGCTTCTTCTGTCACTCAGTGCCCAAGGGGCTGGACCTGGAGCCCTATCCAATCAGAGCCATGGGGCGAGGTCGTAGGAATTGTCAATCAGGCGCGCGGCTGGGAAGACGGTGCGAGGTTCAAAGAGCCGGCGGCGTCTTCTCCACACCCCTGCGCTCAACTCTAGCCTCGGTCACTGAGAGACGCCCTGGAAAGTCTGTGGCGGCCTCTGTCACACTGGGACCCCCACTGGCAGCGGGAAGCAGAGGGAGGACCCTGGAACATCCCGGAAGCTGGGAAATGGTGCGTGTGCGGGGTCTAGTGTCCCAAAAGTGGGGAAGGGCTGGTTGGAACCGTCCAGAACCGGCCGCGGCGAAACCCGGGCCTCCCCCACCGTCAGCTCCGGGGTCTGGGACCCGAGTCCCCCTGGCGCAGCTCTGCTCTGCAGGGTGAGGCTTGGGCCGGCAGCCGGGACCCCGGGCGTCCTGTCCGGTCCCTGCGTGGCGACTGCGGTCCCGACCTCGGAGCCCTCTCTGGGCAGCTCTGCACCCGGAGCCCCACTTCTCCCCAAGATTGGGGGAGGGTCATGGAAGGGTCATAGGGGGAATCCCCACTCGTGTGTGGGGTTCGTGCGTGGGAGGAGCTGTGATCTGTGGGATCCTCAGTCTCTGTTTTCTTCCCAAAAGGGACCGGTTTCCCTCTGAGTCTTCAAAGGTTTGGGAAGGCAGGTGTCTAATGCCTTATCTTGTCCCCTCACCCTAACTCCTGGGGCTGGCAGTAAATCCCTAGATTTCCAGATTTCGCCCTGCATTTCATAAAGCTGACTTCTCTCTGTCACAGGGGAACGACTGCTATCTGGGCCGGTAACGCCGGGGTAAAATAATTTTTACCGAGACAGTTGTAGGTAGAGTTATTAGCGAAAGTAGGAAAATCCATTGCAAGGGAGGCCATGGGAAGCCTGCAGGAGAGAAACCGAGGCTTGTGGGCCATTTTATAGAATGGAACTTGGACTGATTGATGGTGCCAAGGCAGCAGGGAGCTTAACTCGCATTCCTCTGTCAGCCCCGGTGTTTGATAAATTGAGGCGTTTGATGGTGAGCAGGAAGTCTGTGAATTAAGTGCGTTATCTGGGCAAGAAGGCCACGTCTTGGGCCATATGTCTTGGGCCATAAAGAAAGTTAGACATGTACAGGAGTTCCAGACCAGCCTGGCCAAGATGGCGAAACCCCTTCTCTAGTGAAAATACAAAAATTAGCCGCACATGGTGGCACATGCCTGTAATCCCAGCTACTAGAGAGGCTGAGGCAGGAGAATCGCTTGAACCCATGAGGCGGCGGTTGCAGTGAACTGAGATCGCGCCACTGCACTCCAGTCTGGGTGACAGAGGGAGACTCCATCTCAAAAAAAAAAAAAAAGAAAAGAAACAAAGTTAAACCTGTAACTTACCTGCATTCTCTTTTGTTTAAATTCTCTGGACATTAAGATAGGCAGATTTATAGCTTATTTGCTTTATCTTTCTGCTTTCCCCTGTTCCCCTTAGCCTTTCCCTAATTAAGACTTTAACAGCCTTTTCCCCTGTTCCCCTTAACCTTTTCCCTAATTAAGACTCCACACTGTCCTCAGTTCACAGCAACATAATGAACTCTTTGTCCCCCAGGCTGTATTTCAAACAAATGCAGTATTTTAACTGTCATTTTTTCCCCCCAGGTAGCAGTATATGACTCTTTTTTAGAAGACACGATTTTTGTTTGTGAATATTTCATATGTGAGGATGCAGAGAATAACCACCTGTCAGGTGGTTTAACCACTCCGCTGTAAAAACGAACAAGAAAAATGTCTGTGCCTCTCCTCCTTTTATTTTCCCTGGGCACAGGCACCTTACCTGAATGTGTCTGGGTTGAGGTTCCCCTTTGGAAACCACCGGCTGATGAGTCCTGAGCCCACACTATCTTCTCCTGGTGCTGGCTTTGATAACTGCCTGGGACTGGCACCAAGTGGGTACAGCAGCCTTGTCTTGGAGGGTAGTGAATATCAGCCCCTGGGTCACTCCTCCCGGAGGACAGCCTGAGATGCAGGGCTGGGGCCTCCCAGGGGAAGAGCTGGATGCCCTGTGGTGGGAGGATTCCCCTGGTATCCTCTTGTAAAAAGTTAAGCCCTGGGATACTCAATTTTCTCACCCTAAGCCCAGTTTTCATTTCTTAGAGACATGGCTGGTCAAACACTCAATTGCTGGTATTGAGGGGGTAAAATAGAAATCGTTCCCATCCTTTGAATTCTTTTAGACTAGTGAAGCAAGAAAAACTATCCGAAAGGTCAAGGATAACTTACCCCAGTGAGGTGGTGCAAGAGCCTGAAAGTACACAGTGCGGTGTCTGGTGGTTGGGGGTGGGGAGTAGTCCCTGAGCACTTCAATGAGCAGCTTGCGGGTGGGGGATGTCCCAGGTGACAGGAGGACCTGACCTAACCCTTGAATGAGACTTGTCTGTGTTCCAGTCAGCACTGCCCCTCTCTGGGGTTGTCAACCTTGAAAAGATTTGTTCACTCATTTCTGTTCAGTTTTTTCTTAACTGTAAAATGCATTCTATCATTAGAGATTGATAGAGAAGATAAGATGTTCCTAAAGGGACAAGAGAGAGTTGGATTTCAGAAAACAAATTATATACATCTAGTCCTATATGCCTTTAAAAAATTCTTGTTTACTTTTCTGTCATACTACACAGAGCCTGTGTAGTAAGTTTCCCAGGTCTGTTTTGTTGTTGTTGTTGTTGTTGTTTAGTTTTTTAATTGGATTATTTCAAATAGAATTTCAGGGCTTAGCAGAGAAAATGCTACCAGGAAAAATAAATTGGAAAAAACTTTCTTCCATGATGACTACAGAAAAATGAATACTGTCTCAAGGCTCTTAAAATACTTTTTCTGGTATGAGAAAGGTAGAACCACATTCAAAATGGAAGCTGAGGTAATAGAGTGAATAAAAATTCATGAAAACAAGCAGATCTGTAATTAGTTGATTATTGTATATGGAGGTGTTAGGCAGAAGATTGATTATTCTCCTGGAGATAAGAATTTGTCCCTGTTCTTTGGGTTGAAGTGGCTGTCATTTGTATCACTGCCTGGCAATACCTGCTGTGCCATAGTTTCTCATACCTTAAATAGATGCTCTTGTTCCAGAATTTGCCATTTTCCGTTGGGCTTTGTACCCATCACTTTGCTAACACCATACTCTCCTGATTACTGTAGACTTCAAAACCTTAATGTGTGGTAGAGAAAGGGCTTCCCTGTCTTGATTACATAGGGTTGCTCTACTAGATTGCCATAAACTGCATGCCTTAAACAACATTCATTCATTTCTCAAATGGGTAGAGGCTGGGAATCCAAGTTCAAGTAGGTCAGATCTCTGGTTAGGGCCCGCTTTCAGGTTTAAAGATGGCAGTCTTCCCCTTATGTCCTTACATAGTGGAGATATGTCTGTAATGTCTGTCTATTTTTAGTACTAGGGCAATGTTGGCCTTATAACATCAATTAGAAAGTATTACCTCTGTGCTGGGCACGGTGGCTCACACCTGTAATCCTAGCACTTTGGGAGGCCGAGGTGGGTAGATCACCTGAGGTCAGGAGTTCAAGACCAGCCTGGCCAACATGGGGAAGCCCTGTCTCTACTAAGATACAAAAATTAACTGGGCATAGTGACAGGTGCCTGTAATCCCAGCTACTTGGGAGGCTGAGGCAGGAGAATTATTTGAACCTGGGAGGCAGAGGTTGCAGTGAGCCAAGATCGCGTCATTGCACTCCAGCCTGGGCAACAAAAGCACAATTTGGTCTCAAAAAAAAATAAAATATAAAGTATTACCTACCTCTGCTTCTGTTTTCTGGAAGACATTGTAGAGAATTGGTATCATTTCTTCCATAAGTATTTGCCATAAATCACCAGTGAAACCATCCTTGCCTGTTCCTTTTTCTTGGCATATTTATCATTTATTGATTCAATTTCTTCAATAGATGTAGGCCTATTCATATTACTTAGTGTTACTTTTATGAGTTTTGGTAGACTGTGTCTTTTATGAAGTTGGTCTATTCCATGTAATTTATCAAATATGTGGCCATTCAGTTGTTTCTAATATTCTTTCATGGTGCTCTTAATGTCCATAGGGTTAGTAGTGATGGCCTCTTTTTTTCTGTGTTAACTTTGCTGTGGGCTTATCAATTTTACAGATCTTTTCAGAGAATCATCTGTTGGCTTGTTGATGTTTTGTTTTGTTTTGTTTTGTTTTTTTGAAATGAAGTCTTGCTCTGTCGCCCAGGCTGGAGTGCAGTGGCGTCATCTCAGCTCACTGCAACCTCCGCTTCCTGGGTTCAAGCGTTTCTCCTGCCTCAGCTACTGGGTTACAGGCACGCGCCACCAAGCGTGGCTAATTTTTATGTTTTTAGAGGACAGGGTTTCACTATGTTGGCCAGACTGGTCTCAAACTCCTGACCTCATGATCTGCCCGCCTTGGCCTTCGAAAGTGCTGGGATTACAGACATGAGCCACCGCGCCTGGCCTTGATGTATGCCTTAATTACAATCTGTTGTCCCAAGTAGTTGCAGGCTATTTGTGTATTTTGCACCGTTTTTCAGCATTTCTTATGTTTGACCCTAACTGGATTCCATTGTAGATGAAATGGAAAAGAGAGCCTTGTTTCACACCTTCTGATCATCCCCAGAATGATTGGAAAATACAAAGACAATAATTTGTGAATAACATCTGATCTGCTTTCTCTAGAATAGTGACCAGAGTTCCACACTGGGATCTCAGGCTGCTGTCTTCAAGACTGGCACAGAGGTGGGGAGTGATTGGGCCAAGGACAAATAAAAACTCCACAAGGGTTTTCTACCATTTTTTCACTTTTATTTATCTGTTTGTTTATCTCTTTGTTAATGGTATGGGGTGCTGAATATTGTAGTGTCAAAATCCTTTATCTGTTTTTGAAAAACTGTCACTTTGTTGGTGAGAGGGTTTTTTGTTTGTTTGTTTGCTTTTGAGACGGAGTTTCGCTCTTGTCAACCAGGCTGGAGTGCAATGGCACAGTCTTGGCTCACCGCAACCTCCACCTCCCGGGTTCAAACAATTCTCCTGCCTCAGCCTCCCAAATAACTGGGATTAGAGGCATGCGCCACCACGCCTGGCTAATTTTGTATTTTTAGTAGAGATGGGGTTTCTCCATGTTGGTCAGGCTGGTCTCGAACTCCTGACCTCAGGTGATCCGCCTACCTCGGCCACCCAAAGTGCTGGGATTACAGGTGTGAGCCACCGCGCCCAGCCAGTGAGAAGGTTTTTTTGTTTGTTTGTTTTTTGTTTTTTGTTTTTGTTTTTTATCATTTTTAGATGTTTGTGACTTCTATTAGATTTGGTAATGTAATTTTATTTATTTTTTTTGAGACAGAATCTCACTATATTGCCATTGCTGGAATGCAGTGGCTCAGTAATGGTTCACTACAGTCTTCATGTCCTGGGCTCAGGTGATCCTCCCACCTCAGCCTCCCCATTAACTGGGACTACAGGCATACCACCATGCCTGGCTAATATTTTTTGTATTTTTTTTGCAGAGACAGGGCTTCGCCCTGTTGCCCAGGCTGGTCTCAAACTCCTGGGCTCAAATGGTCCATCTTCCCTGGCCTCTCAAAGTGCTGAGATTACAGGCATGAGCCATGGTGCCCAGCTGGTAGTGTAATTTTTAGTTATTTAGGTCTGTTTTAGTTATTTAGGGAATCTTATAAATATTCATGAGAGATAACATTGAGTTCTTTTCTAATAATACAGTCTCTCATTGCCCTTCTTTCCTTCTCCTTTGACATTACCCAATAAGATGTTCAAAATTTTTCCACTGGGATGGTGAAATATCTTTTATTATTTGTCATGCTTAACTACCTTTGATCTAGAGGAAGCCAGTTACGGCTTCCAGATTTTCTGTTAGTATAATCCCGGAGGATGTGCCAAATCCTCCAACTAACAAGTTGCAAAAAAACATGAAATTTTATCTACCAGGCTCTCTCATTAGAGACCCAGTGCCTATAGTGTTTTTTGCTGGCTGGTTTAGTCTGTTTTTTGTTGCTTAAGAATAATCTGAATCTGGATAATTTATAAGGAACAATATTTGTTTTTTACTGTTGTGGAGGCTGGGAAGTCCAGGGTTAAGCCTGGGCATCTGGTGAAAATCTCCTTGCTGGTGGCATCTGGTGAGAACCTTCTTGCTGGTGGCATCTGGTGAGAACCTCCTTGCTGGTGGCATCTGGTGAGAACCTTCTTGCTGGTGGCATCTGGTGAGAACCT